CAGCCTAGTGAAAAAAAAAAAAGCCAGTGAACCAAAAATACCCTTGAATATGGCCCTTCAACTTACTTGCCTAGGAGAAAGAAGCTGTTAGGGGCCTGAGGCGGGTCTTTTTTTTTTTTTAAAAAACATCTTATTTTTGGCTGTGTTGGGTCTTAGTTGCGGCACGCAAGCTTCTTTCTAGTTGCAGCACGCAAGCTCAATAGTTGCAGCGTGTAGGCTTAGCTGCCCTGCAGCATGTGGGATCTTGGTTCCCTGACCAGGGATCAATCCCGCGTCTCCTGCATTGCAAGGCGGATTCTTAACCGCTAGACCACCAGGCAAGTCCCCTGAGGCAGCTCTTGGTCCACCCCTGCTTTAGTGGAGGGGCAATTAACAGTAAGGTCAACCTTGAACTGCATGGGCCTAGTGATTAAAGCCCTTGCTTTGCTGTGAATGCTAGCACCAAAATCTCATGCTGTTAGGGCTGCATTTTTCCTTCCCTTCGGCATTTTCTCTTATTAAGAATGTTTAATTATCCCCAGTAGTTGTGAACTGGTAGTAATTCCTTCCTCTTGAGTTCCTCAGTGTAGGGATCTGCACTGTGTGGATGATTCCTACTTTATTGGAGGATTCCGTAGAAAAACCAATGTCTGTATAAGTACCAATTAGTGAATTGCTTCATTTCTGCCCTACTTTCCCTTTGAGGCCACGCTGGGAAGATATGAAATGTTTCAACTAAAATTTACATAAAATAAAAATGACCACCCATAATCACCCCACCGGACCAGTCTCCATTCCCAAAGCTGCAAAAGGGTGGACCTAACATGCAGCTTGGCACCCATTAGGTGCCAACGTATCAGTAGTTATGTTGACAGAACAAATGGCAGCAGGCACTGAACAATGCAGCACAAATTAAATGCCAGGCTGTTTTGGACAGGGGGCAGAAGCAGGATGGGGAAAGGGGTCAGCACGTGGCCAGCCTTGGAATCCCTACCTCTAGGGGTCTGGGGCTTGCAAAGGCTGTGGGTATGCTCCTTTCTCCATGAACAGCATAGCTGCCTGGCAGAAAGCTTGCCCAGGAGTCTCATACTGTAAACTGACTGGATTCTTTATCACTTTGGGTGTGAATTTTGGGCCCCAGACTATTGGAAACATTTGGGCTTGGACCAACACCTACAGTCCTCACTTCCCCTTAAACCAGCTGTTCTCAACTTCTCAGGTGGTGAGAATGACTCATGCTTCCTTCTGCCTTTGTGCTTACCAAATTTATTATGACTAGGTTCTACTTTTATAACAAAAAACAAAGCCGCTAATTAAAAAGTGTCCCCAGAGGATTCAGAGCTTGGACCCTTGGAGGTCCACTGCTGTCCTGTTGGCCTCCTCCCTACGCCTGTGCATATACTGCCAGAGGTTATCTGGAAAGCAGTTCCCAGTGTTTGGCTCCAATCTTTGGTACTTATATTGTTGCTCTTACAGCCTGATCCCTCAAACTTAGGTCTTGAGAGGGTGCCATGGTGACTGTAGTCTGTTCTCAAGCTGCTCTGTGCACAATACCCAGCCCCTGCCAAAGAACCAATGTGTAAGGGCTAACGAAAGCTAGGAAGGAAACCTTCTCCCTAACAGATGGTATCATCAACTTACCACCAGGCCTCAGTACTGCCCTCGCTGATCTTTCTGGCTTGCGAGAGATCTCTTGTACCCACCTCTGGGATTGACAGTCTTCATTCTAAAGGCAGCTTTCCAGCAGATGTTCCAGGGAGTCTCCACCTGAAACCACAGTCTTATGTGTTCATGCAGGTACAGTCCTATAGCTGAGGCCCACTACAGTACAGCAAGGTCACTAATCTAGCTTTTCTTTGGAGGCGATATTCTAGGCCTTTAGCTGAAGCTGAAGCCATGAGCTAAAGTCTCTGGATTCTTTTCTATTCTCTGCTCAGGACGGTTATAAGAACAAGAAGCTTCCTGTTCCTGTTGTCTTTCTACTAGCACCAACACAAAAACATAAAACATAAAAGCTCCCAACTCAAGTTTTGTAGAATGACTTTATGCAGATGCCAGCCAAAGAGCTGCAAACCTCTCGGCATTTGACATTCTTCTGTTCAAGAGTGCTGCTAGTCCAATTTAGCTGGTGGGCTACAGTATTCTTGGCACAAGGCCTTGTTTGTAAAGGGGGAAGGGAAGAGGGCTTCAGACAGGAAGCAGCATTAAGAGTTCTGCCTTAAGTGTGCTTACATTTGCACTTTGGCAGCCCTCAAGACACCACAAAAGCCCTCCTGCATTCCAGGAAGAATGACAACTAAATGATTCAGGTTGATGGTGCCTGAGGTCAGCTCTAATATCCCCCCAAAGGACTACAGAAGCATCACACTTGTAACCAAATGAAGACCATCACCACAAAAAGACCTAACCAGCTAAAAGGTTACTTGCTTTTACTCAGCAAAGTACACTCTATATTTAGAGTCTTTCCAAATATATGATTCCAGAAGTCAATGGTAAACAAAAGCATCTTGTGGCCAAGCTTCAGCACTAAGTCAACGGCAGAGTTCCTGACAGTCCATGCAGGCTTCTAGCCCAAGTCTGAGTCCTCCATATGCCAAAGGGGAAACTTGGAGCTTTTCCTTCCAGGGCTCTTGATTTCAACCAGCAAGGAACTAATGTTGCTGAACTAAGAGAGTTTTGTATAGGGTGCACCTTGTTCATCTTTTGGGCCCATCTAAAAGAAAGCCCTAGTCCATGCAATGAACAAAACTTAAAAAACCTCAGGTTATTATTGACAAAGTTGTTTTAAAAACCTGTAGTGATGGTGGGGAGAAATTACTGAAAAAACAGCACACACATCTGTGTGTGTGTTTCTAATATATCTTTGTGCTCTATATCATATATTAGAACAAGATAACTAGAATTTCCCCGTATCAGACAACAGTTTAGTTTTTCCCCAACTAGATGGGAACTGAAGTACCATCTTTGCACAAGGCCCCTGTCCTATGGACAATTTCATTTACCTTTAATAGCTTTCCACCTATGGACTTTTCTGTTTACATACATAATCCCCACATACCAGATTCCTTTGGGACTCTGCATTGCTGAATGCACTAGAAAGGAATTGTAATAACACCAAGACCTAAAAACTTGATCTCTCTTAAAACCTGGGAGAATTGGTTACCTTAGACATAACTCTAAATTGTTTTTGAGCCCCAGGCTTCTGTCTTTTAAAAGAGTACTAAATGGGGCTTCCCTGGTGGCGCAGTGGTTGAGAGTCTGCCTGCCGATCGATGCAGGGGACACGGGTTTGTGCCCCGGTCCGGGAAGATCCCACAGGCCACGGAGCGGCTGGGCCCGTGAGCCACGGCCGCTGAGCCTGCGCGTCCGGTGCTCCGCAACGGGAGAGGCCACAACAGTGAGAGGCCCGTGTACCGCAATCAATCAATCAATCAATCAAGAGTACTAAATGAATAAATTAAGACAGGTACCTCGTTTACTGGGCACACAACAGACTTACTAAATAAGCCACCTTCAATAGCTTTCCTCTCCACTACCTTCCACTACATGAGGAAGAATTTTTAGATCAGTTTCAGAAGTTATTCATATTCACGGAACTTTTAAATTTTGCGGTGTGTGTGTGTGTCTGTACAGACTCAAGGATATTTCTAGGAAGGGGAAAAAAACTGGTGTATAAGTCAAGAGTGCTTTCTATCAGAGATCAGAGTGTTCCTATATCCAGACTTTACTTGTTTACATTACAAAAAAAAAGTGGAAAATGGTGAAAACCTCTTCACTGGATAGATACGAGTCTATATAAAACTCAATCAACATGATATTTTCAAAGTGGGATGAATATTTAAGTTCAGTAGAATTTTAAAACTAAACTCAATCCCTTAACATCTCTTAAGGGATAGTATAGTTATTGGCTAAAAGACCAGACTGCCTGGGTTCAAATCCCAGCTCTATCAGATACTGGCTGGTTGACCTTGAGAAAGTTACTTGATCTGTACCTAGTTTCCTCATCTGTAATATGGTAGTACCCACCTCATAAGATTACTCTGAGTTTGAAATGTGATCATGTTAAAGTGCTTAGAATAGTGCCTCGCACAGAGTTATGTTAGAAGTACTGTTACAGAGGAATTGCACATCACAAATGCACTTCATCTTTAACATAAATCCAAATTTGTACCAAAATAAATTAGTTCTAGCCTCTTGCTGTACCATACATTTATAAAATTTATGTAGTAAATTTTAGAGTAAACATTCTTTGCATGACATGACTTTGTAAATTGAAGTGCATCTGGTATTCAACCAAAGAAACAGGAATCTGTTCCAAGGCTGAAGAAAAAAATTGTGAAGAGTCATTGAGAGATGGAACATTCCTAAGAATTTTCTCCAATAGGAATGGGGGCTAGATATGAGTTTTATGCATGTGTTGAATTTAGGAATTAGAGCTCATTAACTCCCTGCGAAGTAAGATGTAACTTCCTTATAATTATCTATCAATACTTGAAATATTTCAGTTTTAAATAGGGAAAACAGGTTAAGGATAAAAATAGATTTTGAAGTAGTATCCAAATAACATTTAATGAAATAAGAGGGGAGACTATCATAGCTACTGTATATTTAATCTAAGAGACAGTCACTGGAGTACATGTCTAAAGAAACTGTTTTAGAGCTGAATATAGAAGTATCACACATTTGATATGACCAAAAAGTACCGTTAAATAAAGCATCTTTTTTTGGGGGGGTGGGGGTATAATTCCAGTGAGTTAACTCTCAATTGTATCAAAAGTTCCCTAAGATCATACTTACCCCCAAATTTCCCAAGTATTAACTTTTAAAGGGAAACATCAGCACTTATCCTTTCTAAAATTTGCTTAATAAATAGAACCTATAGATATTGCCATCCTACAGTCTTCCAGTAGAGGAATCAGTCTTTCAATAGAAAAGCTGTTAGCTTACTAAGCTAGTATGAATGTGTAAGAAACTCTTGGGGTTAATGAAATAGCTCTTTTAACTACTAGAAAGACTACACAGGTGGTTCAACAGAATTTACTTGTATATTTTCCATTTTCTATACTATTTGAAGGCATAGGATAGCTTTGTTATTAGCTTTCTTCAATATTGTGTTTTGTTTATCCAGTAAATGAAAATGCAGTACAAATTTTATACAACTTAGGAGATTAAAAAAAAAAAATCTCCACAAGAGAAAGCAACTCAGCAGGCCCTGGTGTTAAAACATTTTTCCAGAATAAAAAGATAGGCAATTGCATTAAAAGGCAGTTTTCAAATATTTAAATTACACCAAGATTCCTTCCAAATATCTGCCTTGTTCAAACCAATGCAACAAGTTCTTATTTATTGTTAATAGTGGGGCATGAGTTTTTGGTAAATGTTGACAGTTTACTTTTTTCCATTATCAAAAATCTTTTAAAGTGCTATCAAGCAGCAAAATAAGTTGCATCAGCTCTCTGCTCATGGTAGAGGTGCCAATTCCTCGTGGTGGAGGTGCAAATTGTGAAATCCCAAAAGGTAGAGTTTAACAGTAAGTAGTGCATGAAGAAACAGTAACAAGTGGCCTAAATACAGAGTTGGACAGAATCAAACCAGTTATGTCTATAATTGCTCAACTGAAACTAATATAGGTACATTCAAAATAAAGTTTGAGATTATAATTGGTGTTTAGAATCAAATTTGAAGAATTTCTTGATAAAATATAAATCTGTTCTTTTGAAATTAGAAATGAAACTATCAATTGATGGAGAGCTAGAGACTTATTAACCCCTCCTACTCAGATAAGGAAATAAGTGACAAAGTCTCTTGCACTGAAGTTATGTATTTTAACAGCTTTACATGTAATATTCATATATAAAAAACTTTAAGTGCTTTTCTCCAATTTAAAAATCTAAAGAATTCAAAAATAAGGCATTCAATATTTGAAAAAAGTACAGATTTACAAAATGTGTATATTCTGTCATGAAAACTCCACACCAACATTATACACTTGGAAAAAAATACAAACAGGATATATTACAAATTTATGTAAGCAATAACTTAGTTCACACCATGCAATAAAAAGTACATTAATCAAGATACACAAGCTTTTGTAGGTTCTAAACCGAAGGTTTTTTTTTCTGCAGAATCCTTAAAACCTGTGGCACTTAAAATTTGTTAGCCTTTCTACTGAGAGGTAAATTATACACAACAATGATGAAAAAGATTAACAGACCAGTTGTCTATTATGAATCATTCCAGCTTTGTTCAACAATGGCCGAAACTCTTTTCTCGTATTCTCGTTTGTTTTCCTGATAAAGCTGTGCTGCCTGGCTATTGGCTGGACTATTTGGATTTGGTTCATCCAGCAGAGACTAGAAGGAAAGACAGAGATAAAACATATTTGTAGAGTTATTCTTTATATTAACATGGGTCCGATATGGAGCACAGAAGTTGTATAAAACAGAAATTATTCTATGAAGAAAGACAGAAATTAGTATGTCTTACATATTTTTAGATCTAAGTACTTTCAGAAATGGTTTGATAAATACAGTAAGAAGTTTCCTGCTGCTAGAAAACTTAAGCTTTCAAAACAGATAGTTCTTAATTGCCTTAAGATCTCTAATCTCAAAGAAATTGGAAAAGAACAGTATTCTTCAGCATACTGAGACATTAACCAGGAAATAAACAACTTGATTTGGTTAATACACAATATCTATAAGATAGCTTAGCAACTAACATTTTCCAAAGTTAAACTCTATTACTGAGGTAAGTTTGCAAATTTCTGACAGTAAGTTGGGTGGTGTACCTTGTTTCCTTTAATCAACAAAACATATGCACCTAGCAGCAAGGGAATGAAACAGGAAAGCCGAAAACACTTTATAAGATGACCTGAATTAAAGCAGAAGTGTGACAGAAAAAACTTTAAAAAGGTCATAAACCAAAAACGTTACTTCTGCTCCTCTCAAATCCATATAACTAAAACATCACTCACCCCCCACCCCTCCCCCAAACTGTCATTCAAGGTCAACTCTGAAATATTCTGCCAGAGTACTTTGGCAAATAGTTATTTACTTTCGTTTAAAATAGAATTTCTTGGATGGGGCAACATACTCAATGCTTCTCTGCACTTCTGCAGTTTCTTGAGGTCCCTATGTTTTTTTCTAAACAATCATCTTTATCTCTCCCCAAGAAGACTCTTCTTTTTGGGCACGAATAATACTTGACCCGTGAGGGAATTCCCTGGTGGTCCAGTGGTTAGGACGCTGCACCTTCACTGCAGGGGGTATGGGTTCAATCCCTGGTCAGGGAACTAAGATTCCACAAGCCTTGTGGTGTGGCAAAAAAAAAAAAAACCCCAAAAAACCCAAACGAAACAAAACAAACACCTGACCTGTGAGAACACTTTATACTTAAATTTGATCAGAATGATTGTGTATTTGATCCAATGTGGTCACGAATGAAAAAGCAGATCGGTTGTATAAAAATCATGAGGGTTTTGTCCAAGCTCTGCCACTGGTTACCTTAGTGTTGGGAAGGTTAGTTTGCTCACTTGGCCTTTAAATTGATCCTAAAAGAGCCAATTATATCCCATAGAATCTTGAAAAGTTAAGATGCATCCTAACACATGCTTACCTGAATTGATGTTAAGATAGACGATACATCGTATGTTGGACTCCATCTATTCTGAAGGATATCTAAACATATGCTACCATCAGCATACACTGCAAAGACAACACTAAAATTGGTTACATATTAACTTTGTCATTTCTAACAATTAAAGAGAAATTTTTACCACAAACCGAATGCTTGGCTCAGTCAGAAATCTTGAACATTAGTCAATAACTAAAACTTTTTGTCTCACAGGAAAATCAGTCTCAAACTAAGGACTCTTTACGCGCCTTTTGATCAGGAGGCTGAGTGAGAGTTAAATTTTTTCATTACATACCATATAGCAAATCTGTTTAAATTCCACATTTCCAAATATTCCTAAATAAAATTCTTGGGGGGATAAAAAAGCTGAATTTTTGACATAGCAATTCTACTCTAAAAGTAATAATCATGGACACGCAAAGTTTTATTTACAGGATGTTCACTATAATACTCTTTATAGAAGTGACAAACTGGAAACTACCTTTGGTCCACAGTGAGGGGACTGGCTAAATAATGGTACATTATTAACGGTACATACCAATACTGCCGCCAGAAATGATATACATCTACCATATGTTAATTAATGTAGAATGACACCCTCAATATATTACATTAATAAGTTTCCAATTACTTATTTAGGATAATTCCATTTTTTATAAAGAATTATTTATAAATATTTTCATCTGAAGTATATGCAGTCACAAAAACATTTGTAAGACTAAATGCCAAAATGTAAATATCTGTAAATAGTAGGATTATGAAGGGTATTATCTTCTTTACCTTTCCTTGTACTTTATGATCTGTTTTTCCAATAAGTATGCATTCCTTTCATAATAAAAATAAAAATCAAGGGATTACCGTTTTAAAAGTCTAACATTTGAGAGGCTTTTCCCCCCTCCTGAACTGATTATGTGAGAATACAATGAACATAAATTTTTATCCAGAACTTGCCAGATTATTTATCTCTACAATAAATTTCCAGAAGCAGAATTGCTGTGTTGACAAAGGATAAATATATTTAAATGTTATAGATACTGCCAAACTGTGGAATGCAGAACAAGCCAGACCACTCTGCATCAAACAGGAATAAGTGAGGCCTTTTTGGGGAGAGGAGGCAAATTACACTTAAGTACTGTCATTCCTCAGGGCTCTATCCTCGGTCCTCTTCCTTCTTACCCATTACACACCCTCTGGGCAATTTTATTCATGGCCTCAATTATTACTATCTATGTGCTAGGTACTTCCAATTGTTAGCGTTAGACCAGATTTAACTCTCAGCTTTAAAGCAGCATAATCAACCGCTTACTGTGTATCCCATAGGAACATCAAACTTAGCAAGTCCAAAGCAAAAATCATCACCTCTGTAAAACCCATAAAACTGTAAAATGATTTTAAAGTTGTGAACTAGTAACTATTTTTGAGAAGTAATCCAAAAGTAAACTAGAAACTGAACATCCATCAACTGATGAATGAACAAAATGTAGTCTATCCATACAATGGATTATCATTCAGCAATAAAAGGAAATGAAGTACAGGTATGTGTTACAACACAGATGAACCTGAAAACTGTGTCAGCTGAAAGAAATCAATCACAAAGGACCACATATATTAAATGATTCCATTTATATGAAATGTCCGGAATAAGCAAACCTGTAGAGTGAAAATACATCAGTGGTTGCCTATGGCTGGGAGGCGGGGGGGATGGGGATGGGGAGTGACTGCTAATAGGCATGGGATTTTGGGGGGAGGCTGATAAAAATGTTCTAAAATTGATAATGGTGATGGTTGCACAACTCAGTGAAGATACTAAAAACCACTGAATTGTACAACTTAAATGGGTGAGTAGCACAGTATGTGAATCTTTTAATAAAGATGTTTAAAAAAAAGCAAACTAGGAAGTTAACTAAATAAGGTACTGATAGTGGAAAAAAGGGAAACCATGTTATTAATATGAAGGGATAAAAATCAAATACGCTGTTTCCTTATAAATTTGTTAAGGCTGAAAATCTTAAGCCTATACACATATACTCCTTGCACATTCCAGTCTTTTCTACCTTGATTTACAGAGCTCCCTTACTACAGTTTGGGTCGATTCACTAACAAGTCTAAGCTAGTAAAGCTACAGTAGAATAAATGATAATAAGTGACTTGAAAATTTCCTCAGAACAGAAACAGAAAATAAAATTAAAGCTGCCTTGCCTCTGGGTGGGGGAAGACCTTGAAAGAAAAAGCAACTTCACAGCAATAAAGCACAAAGGCTAAATCTATGATCTAATCTATTATTGGGAAGTCACCTTGATTCCAGACACACAAACACACCTCTCTCCTATGAGTAGGGAGATCCCTATCTGCCTGCAGTTTTCTCACGTAGTCTGTAGTTCTAGACTAGATGCACAATCAAGAGGACCTCTGAAAATGTTCCTCCTGAAAGTAAGTTAACTGATGGAAAACCACATTTAAATGTGCAAAGGATATAAAAGGGAAAGAGAACTTAAATATTCTGGAAAATAAGTCTTTCATACAGTAATTTATAATCCAGGAATACAAATTTATTAGAAGTAAAGAGCAATAAGTCAGGAAGAGCAAATTTAATTACAAAAGTCACTTAGCAATCATTTATGGAAAATAGTAATAAACTGCTAAAAGTAAAAATAGTAACAAGGAAGGAAAACTGTATTTAAAAAAAACCCTTAAAAACATACAAACCTTTGACCTAGTAATCCTACTTCTAAAAACTTATTCATGGGTATTTGAGAAGATTTATTTTCAAGAAAAATGTGCTGTTTAAAACTGTAAACAATTAAAAATCACCAACTGGACAATGATTAAATAAATAATGATAAACTCATATAACAGAACATTTTGCAGCCATTAAGAATGATATAGGGAATTCCCTGGTGGTCCAGTGGTTAGGACTCCATGCTCTCCCTGCCGGGGGCCCAGGTTCGATCCCTCGTTGGGGAACTAAGACCCCAAAGCCGCGTGGGGCGGCCAAAGGAGGAGAAAAAAAAAGATACAAAAGAATGTTTAATAAGTGAAAATGTTCATGTTATATATAAATTACTTAACCTTACATACAACATGATCTTAATTTTGTACATTTACCTGCAAGCTAAATTTTAAGCTATAAATCCTTAGTATCTTTCACATTTTGATAAATAAATAGATATTACTTTAAAATCAGAAGTTATTAAAACAAAACTTTATCTCAAATCTAGAACCTTGATAAGATTCCAGACTACAAAAGTATGGTTAATATTGACATAGAAGCAACATCTAGAAGTGGGCCCTAATAACGAGAAGTATGGGCAAGACCTAAAAGGATGAAACAACTCTTTTTTCCTCCTATCATTTGCAAAGGCTAATAAATTGCTACTTACCATTTGGATGAAACATTTTGGATAAAAACCTAACAGTTGGCGGTTTATTTGGATATTCTTCAGAAAATTCTATTACTAGTTTAAAAGTACCTAGATAGAAACAAACCAAAATAATTACAGTAAAGACAAGCATAACTTTTCTCTCTCTTCATCAATGAACTCCCAAGCCCATGCTGGCTTTTGCATGACCATACAAAAATTAATGTCAATTTTGGTTTAGCGCATAAAACACACTAAATATACTATTTAGGTACTGATAACATACAGCATTGGCAAGCACTTGGGGGGTACAGCACTTACATGTGCTACTGGTGGGAACATTAACTGTCATATTGTTGGAAAGCAATTTTGCCCTAGCTACCAAAATTTTAAATGCACATTTGAGGAACTACAAATAATTTATTGTAACTTAGAAGGGGGTGCCAAATGATTTTGAGATGGGCTCACCACCACATGACAAAGGACTCAGATTGGAGGCATGGCCACTAATGTGAAAAGTCTGCTCTGTCCCTATCACTTAAGTATGCCAAGAATCAGTTAAGCATTAGTGTAACTGCCTACTGTTGGTTATAGACCAATACAGTACATTTTGGTCAGTCTAAATCATTATCTTATGGTCAAAAGAGACAGGCATTTAAAAAAATTATGCATTTATAATAAAGTCTATCTGTTCAGAGTGTACAAAGAAGAGCTCTTAACTCAAATTCCAAATCTATTTAGCAGAAACAACCACTGTTAATAGTTTCGTGTTTGTCTTTCTAGCCTCCTTTTGCATTTATTCACTATCCAGAGTCCTTTTGAGGAAATCTACCTGAAGGTTGGATACGTGCTCCAACCACAACACCTTGGGCATAGTAAGTTGAGGCTTATTCCTAATGAAGTCAATAAAAGTTTAAAACCATTCCAGATGTCTCCACAAGCTTCTTTCCTTATTTCATCAATGCAGTTTAAAAAAAACAAAACAAAAACCCTTTCTCACCCTAAATTCTAAACTCATGACTCCAGTATCAGAGGCATGTGTTCAGTAAAATATTTAATATTTTATTTTCATTAGTCATATATTCAGTATGTAACCTCTACCTCTTCACATGTTTTGTTTGGAAATTTGGGATTAGGGAGGCCAAAGATACAAACAAAATCAAAGATGATATTTAATTCACATTTTGATATATTAATAGATTCTATGAAATGTACAGTTCATTAGCAAAGATAGCCTTATACCTAATTCTATAATTTTACAGTTTTAATTATAAAAATGTACAACATAAACACTTCAGACAAACACAAATATGAAACAGCTTTTTTTAACCTTTTAAAATTCACATATGGGGTCTCAGGACCCCTTTATACTCTTACTCCCAACCACGCCAAGTTTCCAAAGTGAAGTCACTGAATGTGAAGTTGGGAAGAGATACATGCAACAGCATACCATTTTATGGTATTTCCACCAAAAATTGAAAATAATTTTAAAATATGGGCTCTTTAATAACCAACTTGCAAAAATTCCCCCAAATTTTTAAACAATCTATTCTCATAATCGGTATAAGCTGCCTCCAGCACATCACAGGCTCTATCTATATTTACTATATTAGAAACTATAACTCAAGGAAAACTTAACATATTTATTAACAACTGTATACACATTAACCTAAGTAACATTTAATGAAAATAACTATATTTCCCCCAACCAAGTTAGTGAGAAGTGTAACATTGTTTAACATATTGGCAAATCTCTTAAATGATTAGCTTAATAGAAGATAGCTGCATTCTCTTAGCTGCTTCTGCGTTCAGTCTGTTGCAACGTGCTGTTTTGGTTGAGGTACAGGAAGAAAATCAGGCCTCACACAAATATGCAAATGAAAAAGGAAAAGACTATTTTCATAGCCTTTTCAGATAATTGTAGATATTCTTTGATATTACACCGAAGAAATGGTACGTTTTTAAAGGTTAGCTGCAATGTAGAATCTGAAACCACATAAACTTTCTGCATCAGTTACATTAACAACTGTTGCATACTGCATATATCTTTTATCCATCCATAATTTTCTAATACATTGGCCATTTGGAAAATATTGGTTCACTGAGTTATCCAAATCTTCTAAATGTAGCCATATTTCATTACATATACACTCCATCAAAAAAAAAAATCACAACAGGTAATACCACCTACTGATCTCATGAGAGAAGTCTTAAAAGTATTGGGAAGCCGTCATTTTATCAGCAGCTACAAATACTGTCAGTCACTTTGCTTGACCTAACAGCTTATTTTGGTAACTTTTAAGAATATGTCAACCAAATTCATACTCGAGTCTAAATAACCGGAGTTTGTCTGTCAGTCATTCCTTCAAGTAAAAAATGTTCCACGAGAAAAGCAGTAATTGAAGTTGCAGCTCAAACGACTGCAGAACTGCTTTCCCTCTAGACGACCATCATAGTTTGGTATGCAAGAGAAGTGTTTCATGCATACTTCCAACTTCATCACGCAGAATGTTAAAAGGATGCATACTCAACGGTCAGAATTTAGTAATATTAATAAATTCCCACTTTTTCATGAAGACATTTTAAACTGAAACTGGCATCTTTTAAAATGCAAAAAATACAATGACTCCCAGCAGTTTGGTGCCACTGTCTTGATATATGCCAAGGTGCTAAACTGCTTAGGGCCAGTTTTAACCACTATCGCTTTTGTACCATCAGAGCTAATGTTAATACAATGAAAAAGGCAAATGTCTCACTACTGGTATGAAGACAGTTTTGATCCCATGGAACCCCTGAAAGGGTCACAGGGAACTTAAGGGGTTTATGGACCACCCTTAAGAATCCTCTGGTATAAAGTAAAAAGCTGAACTCCTTGAGTACCTCCCTTCAACTCCTTAACCCCCATTTAGAGGTAACCACTGGTAACAGTATGGTATATAACCCCCTTTAACCACACACACTTGCATGCATGTATTTAGTAAAAATGTGGTATTACAACATACATTCTGCAATTTTGTCTCCTCAGATATATGTCCAGATCTACCTTATTCTTTAATAGGTACGTAATATTCTAGAGTCTAGATATATCATAATTTGCTTAACCACTTCTCCTATTGAACATTCAGGTTATCTCCTTAAAAATACTTCTGCAATCGTTATTTGTACAAATATCCTTGATGGGTTAATTCTGAAGCCACTGTGATAACTAAGACAAACCTGTTTAACAATTTTTAAAAATCCATGCTATAATTAGGGAAACTAAGTATCTGGTTAAAATCAATTTGAGAAGTTCAACTATAAAAACATGTTAGAAGGAGTTTTCCATTTTCCTGGCTCTTGGTGAAAATACTGAATTTAAGACGCAAAAGGTCCTGCAGAATGGTAACTATTTACGGGTGTCAAATGCTAGCTGTTACGTGAAGCTACTGGCCGCTGTGTATGATTAAGAACAATTTCAGCTCAGCACCTGATCAATATACATAAAGTTAAAAACGCATCATTACCCTTCTGATGTTTACCTCAGGGACACTTTTAGCATGATACAAAGCCATTTAAACTATTCTCAACATAGACCCCACCATCTAATCTAGGCTTAAGAGTTCTACAGCCAATACCAAAGTAACAGGGAACTAGTAATGAAGGTGATCAAGCTGATTTGAGAAGACAGTCCTTTGTAAACTATAAATTCTCAGTAGCATTATTTAGTTACAATTTGACCTATTAACAATAGAAACTAGTTAACTAGATAGGTTGGTGTTACAATTCCCTACTTAAAAGAAGCCTCTTAATAGAAAACATTGAGAATGACTTACCATCTTCAAAGGGTGTCCCTTCTGGTCTGAAAACAAGAAGATTTCTGATTAAAAGAAGTTTTTCATTCTGCTTTTTCCTGATTTTCACAAGTGGAAAGAATAAACTCAGAGAAAGAGGGGCTCATTCTGGTAATTTGTGGAGTATGTAAGTTATTATTAATTTAGTATCACCATAGCCCTGGATTTTTATTGATGTAGACATAAAGGGTAACTTTAATTTTCAAAGTTTTCCTTTTAGGGTGGCTTTTCAAAAAACAAAACAAAAAAAACTTGTCATAATTTTAGCACAAAAAGAATTCAGTTCATAAATACCAACGCTTTTGTAAATATCTGTATTCTTAAGAGGAAAAGTCTTACTTTCAATGTAAGATGGAAATCAATACCCTTTAGTTTAAGATAATTATGACACCATGGACTTCCCTGGTGACGCAGTGGTTAAGAATCCGCCTGCCAATGCAGGGAACAAATGTTCGAGCCCTGGTCCAGGAAGATCCCAACATGCCGCGGAGCAACTAAGCCTGCCTGCCACAACTACTGAAGCCTGCGCACCTAGAGCATGTGCTCTGCAACAAGAGAAGCCTCCGCAATGAGAAGCCTGGGCACTGCAACGAGTAGCCCCCACTCGCTGCAACTAGAGAAAGCCCATGCACAGCAATGCATCCAAAAATAAATAAATAAATTTATATTAAAAAAAGAAGGGCTTCCCTGGTGGCGCAGTGGTTGGGAGTCCGCCTGCCGATGCGGAGGACGCTGGTTTGTGGCCTGGTCCGGGAGGATCCCACATGCCGTGGAGTGGCTGGGCCCGTGAGCCATGGCCGCTGGGCCTGCGCGTCCGGAGCCTGTGCTCCGCAGCAGAAGAGGCCACAGCAGTGAGAGGCCCGCGTACCACAAAAAAAAAAAAAAAAAAAGATAATTATGACACCAAAGTGTCCTGCTTTTCAAAAGAGCAATAGCTCTTGTTCAAATCGACTGGATTTATCTGATGTCACCAAGAAAGCCAGTTTCTTTTGCCCAAATCTTTTTCTTGCTACCACATTCCAATTTCATCTTTCCTAAGCAGCAACATGAAGTTTAATTACCACTTGCAAGGCACATTCAGGATCTCAAAGAAGCATGCTAACAGCCTGAATTAGAAGTGTAAACTACCCTCATTTTTCCACTAGTGTTTAACGTAGACTCTCATAACTGATTCAAGAGCAATTCAGAATTCTGTTTACAAAAAGTAATCCTTTAAAGTTTTAGTGCAAAACCCTAGTTTAAAAAGAGTGAAAGAAAATACAATCCAGTTCTAGAAAACTAAAGAAAAACCATATGGAAAATTTAAATTAAAAAGCATATATAAAATATATACTATCTGTAAAAGGTAAGAATGCATCTCAAAAGGCTCCATTCAATTATTTCACACTGAGGTGTGAAACATTTTTCATTTAAATCCTTACCATGGTGGAAGTTCTAGTATTTTTGGTTCCTAGCCTTTTTACAGTTCTAGTAGAATGCAAGCATAAGAATTTGCTTGGCACATTTTCCACAAAATAATTTATCTTTCTCCTTTAGTCTCAAATGACATTTTTATCAAGTAAAGCCCAAAGTGATCATAAAATCATAAATTTTATGTAACTGCCGAAACTCTTCTCAGAATTCTTTTTTACCTTGCAGTTTCTGTAAGATCCCTGATCCCTCAGCTTCCTTTCCTACTTGTTATACATTCACTTTTCTTAAAAGAATCACCACACCTACCATTTGTCATTTCTTTCAACTCACCCAAATATAACTGCATTCCACTGCATGATGTTGTTTTCAGATGGTGCGCCACTGACACCCACAGGTGGGTCCTCTTGCAATCTAGAAATCCAGAGTAGAAATTTTAAGAGTTGAACATTAAGGCCACTAAGAACGCCAAACAGAACACCTATGGACTGTACACCATCTACTTTGAGAAACAAAGTAAATCAATTTCCTTACTCTTGTGCTGGGCTGGAATAAACCATGACTTAAAAGCGCCTTGGAGTCATCCCTCTTCAAATATCACCAAAGTTAAGATATCTGTTCAAGAACTGCCTTCAACAGTAACAACAAAGTAAAAACCTCAAATGAAAAAACAATTTTACTGTTGTGAACATGCAAAGACTTCGTGAGTCCTAACCACAGTTACTTGTGCAACATGGCCACCAAATATTCCTCCCCCCAAAACCAAAACCAAAAGAAACCCACCTCAGTGTAAACACTAAATGACTGAAAACACACGTATATCCAATTTAATTAGGAAACTAGTTTTAGGCAGTAGAGTTACTTTATCCCATTTGCTTCAATTGGCAATAGGTTTTAAAGTAATCAAAGCTTTGGTTAGGTTTTCCCCTCAGTCCCTATTTTAAAAGCTCTGCACCAACACTAATCTACCTCTCAGATCATGCAACTCAATACAAAGCTACCTTCCAACATTTGTCATAATCAAATTCTTGCAACCGAAGACCCTTGGAAAACTACCAAAGATGCCAAGTATACAACTCAGAATTAAGCAGAGAATTGCAGTAAGAAACCAGGGTAACAATGGCCACGAACTGGGAAGTTTTAATATTTGAATTTCACTCATGGGAGTTAATCTGAAATGTACTGGTTTCAAGCTGTAGAAAGTGAGTTCTGCACCAAAATGAGCATCTCCTTTTAAAGACTGTCATCTCAGTAAAAAATAAATGCTACATTTTATATATATATATATATATATATATATACACACATATATATATATATATACACAAACTGCCATGTGGTATGATACTTGATATTAGTCACCCCCCAGAATGGCTCTTTTTAGTCAACCTCAAGCAGAATAGGCCACAACGAACAGAAGCGTTACAGGATATACTGCTTGAAGCCCGCCCACCAAAGATAAAGGCTAAGTTACGAATACACTCAATGATAAACTGGACAAAGCCCCAAACAATGGCTTCCAAGTGCCTCATTTAAGAGTTTATAATGAAGTTGAGAGGTTACTTCCCGAGCCGCCGTTCTAAGTTTTTACACTAGGTATTTTGCCTCAAGCAGGGCGGGTCTCCCTAGAAAAACACTTAAAAATGCGCAGAGCGTAGCGCTAAGTTTTCTCGGTCATTTTTCTCCCCGTACCTCCAAGCATTCAATCAACGGGAAACAACTGTAAAAAAGTCACTTCCTCCTCACTAACCCCAACACCTCCTAACAAAACCCTACTTTACAAAAGGAGGCCCAGGGAGTATCAGGTTAGCGCCAGTCTCCAAGGCGGCATTTCCCCAGGCTTTGGAGGCTATAGATAGGGCTTTTTATACACCAGGCCACAGAGCTGAGTTCCAGAAAGCACTGGCAGCTGGGGTTGCCAGCCCGAGTCCCAGCCCTCTAAGCCAGTTCTCAAGGTCCTTTCAAGAGGGCGGGGAGAGAGTCGGGTTTCGGAGCATCGGTTAACCCCCGGCCCCAGAGCATCAGACCCCACCCTCACTGCAGAAAGAATGGGGAGGGAGGGAGGGTTTGGCCCCAACCCTGGCCCTCGAAGGAGACCGCAAGGCCATCGAACAAAGCTAACTGGTGCAGCTAGCGAGAGGAAAGGCTTCTGCAAGGGCCTGCTTTTAAGGCAGAGAGAGGAGGTACAGCAAGGTGCAGGGGCGGGGGAGGAGGTTTGAACGCCAGGGCGAGACACCAGGCAACTGGGACAAGTGGGCAGCAGGGAATCCTAGGACAGCCCATGGCCATCTTTTTACTTTTTGAGGGGGAAGGGGTGGCGAGAAGATATCGAAATTTCTTACGTCGGACGAATGAACAGGTAAGGACAAGAGTGCTAACAGGGGCTAGGACTGGGCTTCCATCCGTCCCGCTGGGCCCACAGCGGCCCTCTTTGGGTCATGAGAGGAAGGTTCCCGGATCCCCGCCCTGCAGCCCCGTAGCTTTGGGGAGGAGCCGTCATCCAGACGAAGATGAAGGCCCTTACCGCTTGAAATCCCGCATAAGTCTCCTCCGGGCCGGGGTCGACATGCTCCCCAGCTGCCCCGCGGTCAGTCTGAAAAAAAAGAGTCCCGCGCAGCCCCCCCACCCCCCGGCGCGGCGGTCGAATCACTGTGGGTCACTGCCTCAGCCGAGGTTGCACAAACAACCCTGCAATGACGTCTCCCTCCGCCGCCTCCAGATCCCTCCGCCCTCCGCCAGTACCATGGAGTGAGGGATGGGGAGAAGGGGACGGGACGTAGGAGAGCTCGTTATGGGAGCCCTTTAGCAAGGACGCTATCCATTTTGGCTTCCTGAACGAATCGACCAATTATTGTTCTCTGTGCTCAGGCTGGAGATTGTGATTAAGAAATACCGAAACCGAAACACCAACCAGTTTCCCCCTCTTTTACTAGTTTAGGCTCAACCGGGTGGGGAGAGAGGGACGCATCCGGCGCCAGAGATATCAGGGAAAGGAGGTAGGATGACGTAAGATCACGTGACTGCCGGCGGTGTTGTCAACAATCCACGCCTGAGGGGGAGGGGACGAAGTATCTAGAACCACGTGTCCCTATGACGCGATTAGAACGGATCACGTGAGAGCGTCGCCTGGGTCCGAGTTTCTGCCAGGTCTTTGAACCGGGTAGTTAAATTTACGGGGCTGAGGGCGGGTATACACCTTTATTAGTTTTCCGTCCAGTTTGTCTAATGAACGGCAGTTGATGAGGTGGTGTCGGAAGCAATAGTTTGTTTTGCTTCTTAAATCTTTAAAATAGAGCCAAAAATAATTTGGACTTAAAATGCCCCGTAGTTGGCTCAATGGCTTATCAAATCTGGTATGTGGGGAACACTGAAGGGACCTCCGTTTTCCCCAGCTCAATGCTGAGGCCCATACTAAGTAAAATCCCCTGAAATGCTTCCTTAGGGCCACCAAAAATCCTGCATGTGCATTGCAGTGGGTTTCCAGGGTTGGGAATTCTGGGCAGAGATAAAAGAACGCGTGTATAGATTATCTAATATTTGTTTACAATCCCTATAGAATTACGTAATTGTTTTTCCTTTATGGGTCTCCTCTTATTTGAGGTTTTGTGTGAGTCCGTGGATTTGTGTACAATAGGGTACCGTCGTATTTGTCAGGAAATGGGCTGATCGCAAGAGAGTGTTATCAATAGGTGGTTGGTTGTCAGAGAAACCTAATATTGTGATTCAGATCTGGGGCAGAGAGCATGCAAACGTGGGTGGGGGTTATGTATCTAGCCTGAGTAACTTATTTCAGGTTTTCTACACTAGCAAGTAAATGACCTGAAATGTCCCCCCCCGCCCCGCCTCTAGGGGGCTCAGGGATGTTGACCATTGGGATTCTGACATTACTTCTAGTCACTGAGTTCCTTTCCTCTATTGCCGCCAATTTCTGTTCTTCAGGGCTTTGCTGGTCTGAACTCTGAGCTCTTTTAACCCATTAGGGCAATTCCTCAGCCCAAGGTGTTATAGGAAGATAGAATGAGGAATTTAGTGTTGCCCATACTTTCATGGAACCAGAAAGGGTTAACGTTCTCTACTTTGCTGGTACCTCCCTTTCTTCAATCCCTGAATTCTTTCTCTTGTTTTTATAACTGCCTTGGTAATCAAGTTAGCCAGGCCTAACTCTTGATAGACACGCATTCACAAATGTAGTTCTCTAATAAGGTGAATATTCTTATTTTTTTTTGCCTTCTTGCCACAGCAATCCTTATACTCCCTATAACTAAGGATGAAGACACACTGGTAGGGTTACCTACAGTGAAATGCCAAAGAGAAACTTTTTTTTTTAAATCCGTTATGTCATTTGTCTAGCAATTTATTATAATTGTTTTGGAAATCTACAGATTATGATTTTCCAAAATGAAGTAACGCTTTTGAGAAAATCAAGTGAGGAGATTTCATTTAAGTCCTAGAGCTTTACTGTATAAGAAAGAATCATAGGCTGTCCTGGTTACCAGGCCTGCTATAACCTATTTGCAGAAAGAATAGTTTTAAAGCTATAAGTTTATACCGTAGAGACTGTAGCTTTAGATTGTGAGCTCACTGACAGCAGGTACTCTGATTCATGCTTTGTCCCTTGTCAATATTAAGCCAACAACAAATATTTAATAAATGTGCTTTACAACAAGTCTGGGTCCACTGTAAGATTTACTATGATATTCTTTTTTTTTTTTAAAGAATTCTATTCTTAATTTATTTATTTTTGGCTGTGTTGGGTCTTCGTTTCTGTGCAAGGGCTTTCTCTAGTTGTGGCAAGCGGGGGCCACTCTTCATCGGGGTGCGCGGGCCTCTCACTATTGCGGCCTCTCTTGTTGCGGAGCACAGGCTCCAGACGCGCAGGCTCGGTAGTTGTGGCTCATGGGCCTAGTTGTTCCGCGGCATGTGGGATCTTCCCAGACCAGGGCTCGAACCCGTGTCCCCTGCATTAGCAGGCAGATTCTCAACCACTGCGCCACCAGGGAAGCCCTACTATGATATTCTTATACATAGATAGAAAGTATTTTATAACATGGTTGAATAACTTTTCAAAAGGAAAGACAATTCTGAATATTTTGGTGGTGATAAGCAAAAAACCATGACCACCTCTCCTTCCCCACACGTCTCTCAGTATAAACCTTAGCAGCATAGAAAACACTTAGGAAGGTTTTAAAATACCAGTTCCTTTACCCTAACTCATTTAAATCAGGATCTCTGGGGATGGGACCTTTTAAAAAGCTCTGTAGGTGTGATTTTAACGTGCATGGTGGGGTGAGACCAACTGGATTAGCATTTATCGGATAGTAATAGTGCTTTATCTTATTTCCGAGCAGCACAGTGAGATTTGGCCTCTTACACTTAACTTCTTTTTACAGAAAAAAGAAATGAAAGCCCTAACAAAGACAGCACTCCTTGGGCGCTTCCAGTGATATTCAGTTTATTCATTGGAGGCTGGCACTCCAGCAGAACCTCATGTCTAGTTCTTAAGCAATTAGATTAAGGCCTCTTTTGCGGGGTGGCTGGAGCCCTCTGAATTATTTGCTTTTCAAGAGGGACTTTTAGAGTTTTGACATGTAGGAAGGGAGTTTTTTAAAAGAAGGATTACTATGAGTTCAAAAAAACGTTTTAAGCATATAAGAGGTGTTCAAGAAATGTTCTTGATTGATGAATCGTTTTATCCCTGTTTTAAGGATGAATGTCAACAACTGAGGTCGAAATCAGATCTATGGAATATTAACGTAACTAGGTAACTTAGAAAACTATAATTACACAAGACTTCCTTGGAAGTTTCGTTTTACAAGAAATCTCTGCCTGGTGACACCAGGCATCCTTTTAGGATCCGACACAAGTGGCAAGTGTTCACGGGCCTGGGGGCATCTAAGACGCAGGTCGGATAAACTTCCACGCCGGTTCCCCTTCCCTAGAGGATCTGCAGTCACTCAAGCTGCCGTCAAAATGCGACCCTCCCCCATCGCCGCTCAAAACCAACCTTGTGTAGTGGCCCCAGTTTGATCAACAGCAGCTCGTATTCGCCACTTACACCCTCAAGGAGGCTTCCGGTTAGTGCCCACCAGGAACTCTTTTCTGCTTGTTCCCTCTTTTCCTTCCGGTTCGGGCCTGGCCGGTGTTCCGGTCTTGCGCCCTAGGCCCCGAGCGAGAGGCCCGGTGCACCGTTGCCATGGCAGCAGGCCGTTGGGAGCTGACTGGATAGGTAGGGTCGGTGTCTGGTTCCCGGCTGAGACTGCGCGGAGCCGGGCCGGCGGGACTGCAGAATGGGCTGAGGCTGAGGCGGCGGCGGCTGTCCGGACGAGGTCGACTGAGGGGCAAAGGGCGCGGCACTGGTCCAGGACCCTAAGACGCCTGGTTTGAGGAGCGGGTGGGACCGAGGTTTTCTTGGGCCCCAAGGCCTGACCTGTTGGCGACTGCAGCTTTGCGGGAACCTCATATTTGACGCGGGCATGACTGGACGTGTGGGGACCCCACTCATGATGAATAGGTGACATGTAGTGAGCGAATCTTAACTCTTGGTGGGAATGATCTTGACAGCAGGAAGCTCCCCAAGTTCTGGTGGGGGCCAGAGCCCCACAAGGACCCCTTACTGCCGAACTGGCAGAGTTCCCAAAGACAAACAGAATCTGTGAAAAGATTCCTACTTTTCCTGTTTCCGTATTTTTAAGTATAGGTTTATTGTGGAAATGCATTATCCGCCTTGAATAAATAAAGGTATAAATGTTTAACCTTCTTCCCCCCCCCTTTCTTTTTATGAAGAAGAAGCTGGGCTTGAAAATGGAGATGTATGAAACCCTTGGAAAAGTGGGAGAGGGAAGTTATGGAACAGTCATGAAATGTAAACATAAGGATACTGGGCAGATAGTGGCCATTAAGGTATTTTATGAGAAACCAGAAAAGTCTGTCAACAAAATTGCAACGAGAGAAATAAAGTTGCTAAAGGTTTGCTTCTTTTGCCTTAATTGCTCTCTGTAAGTCAAAAGGGGAGTTGTTATGGAATAAAAAATTATATAATGAATATTTCAGTTAACATGTATTTGGACATATTAATAGAAAAACAAGTGTCATAGCTTACCTTACTGTGTACGTTTTGTAATTTTACAGTGATACTAGATATATGTTCTTATGTATAATGTAACAAAAGCTATGCCAAATATTGTGAAATAATTATTCAGAAATATCCAGGTATAATACTTAGTAGAAATGTCTGCTTTGTGCAGTGTTTTGTGCCAGATGCTGTGACTATAATGATGTAAAAGACAGTACCTGCTCTTCAGGACTTTTATTAATTAGAAAGACAAGAGGGCATATACAAATAATACTGACTATTAAGTGGCTGATAATAAAAGCCAAGTGATTAACACAAAGTCCTGTTGGGTAGGGAATGTTTCTTGGAGGAAATGGAACACGAATTTGGCCTTAAAGGGTATGTAGAATTTAGGAAAGAGGGAGAGACTGTTGTATTCCAGGTTAGGGGAACGGCATAAGCTCAGAGAGGCTGAAGGCAGGACAAAGAGCAGAGCAGAAAGGACAAAGTGCATTTGCCTGTAGAGTTTCTTATATGGAAATAGAAGGAGGTGATTTTAGAGAAGTAAGCTGGAGGTAGGTTTTAAAGTCTTCTCTTTTAGGCTGAGGAATCAAAACTTGATTTTGTGAGAGGTGCGAGGTTTTGAATTCAGAGTAAAGAAACTGTAAATATTAATCTAGCATTACTTTTTAGAATATATTGGAGGACTGAGAAAGTAAAAATAGGGAGATCTGTTGTGTTTTTAATTCAGGAATCCTGTTAAATGTGAGGGTCCTTGCTAGAATGCAGCAATTTGAATGGAAAGTAGAGTTAGAACATAATATATTACTAAAGAAGACATGAAAGTGTAGAAGGAAACAGAAGGGGAATCAAAGGTATCTTTGAGGTTCAGTGATTGCTACCATTGATGGAAATATGAAAGACCCAAAAGAGACATGGTTTGGGAACTAGTTCGGTTTTAGAAATGTTGAATTTGAGGTGACAGGAATACAGTGCAGTAAAGATGATAGGTAGGCGTTTAGAGGTGGAGAACAATAACAGGAGAGATCAGGGGACAAGATAGAATTTCATGTAGGTATGATTGGTCCACTTAGTGGAAAGACCTCAGGAGTGTAAAGAAAGGAACATTAAGATTCATTGGCAATTGGGTACAAAACTAGTGATTTTAAAAATAAATATACATATGTATTTTGTTTATTGGCATTTATCTAGATGCTTTAAGGTTCATTGCCTAGATGTTTTTACATGTGATGAAGAAAACAGATACTGTTCTTGTTCTTTTTTATCTGATGCAAAAGTAATATTCTCTTCTTTCTTTGTAAGTCTATATTAGATATGATGGATCAATTTACTTTCTAAATAGAAGAAATATATTAGGCATGTGTAGATTGTTGGAACTGCTCTATTTCTAGACAATGAAAAGGAAAGTTAAAGTCAGTAAAGATGTTATGATTTTGTGAGCGATACCTGTCCTTATCCTGATGACCTAAAGCATAATAATACTGTAAGGCAATTTGTGCACTGTAAGTGAAAATCTGACTAGAAGGAGACATTTTCCCAGGCAATATCTTTTGCTCTTTCTTCATCTTTGTTTCATTTAAGCTAATTATTTTTTGCTTCTTAATTGTTTTGTAAAAATAACCAATATGTGGCAAGAACACAGAGATGAATTTGAAAATGTACTATTACAACTATTATGCAAACTATTTAGAGATAGCTTAACTATTTTTTCTCATTGGCTTATTTCTTGTAGAATTTTTAGTTTCATCAGATCTAATTCCACGAGAGATTTCTTGGATTAGTTAACATTCTTAGTCTAAAAACACTGCCATAATGACTTAATTAGAACTAAAGTTTTATCTGCTGGAATTTCATTAAATAAATTACAGTTAGAGTAATTAGTGAGAATATCTGTAGAAAAGTTTTCTATTTATAAAGGAAAACAAAAGTAAACAAGCTGAAAAAGGATAATGGAGTATTTCTAGTGGTTTTATGGTTTATCTGAGAAAGTCACTGATTCCTTACCCCTGGATGGATGTTCCTTAATGCTTATTAACTTGCATTCATCGTTATCTGCTTTTGCCTTTAAAATTAAGACTGGTCAAGACACCAGTAATTTTCCTTAGTTGAAGGATTAATATTATAGTGTCTAAAGGCAGTCTTTTTTTTTTTTTGCTACTGCCAGCATGTTGTTGCTGCAGCACTCTGGCACCCCACCAACCAGGGAAATTGGATTGGGAGCAAAAATAGGAAAGGAGTCCGGCATTATATTTTGGCATGTTTTTCTATTAGTCCTGTCTTGAGGAATTTAGTCTATGTATTAGTACAGATAAGTAGAAAAATGGATGTTGTGCCATTGAAATAAAGGCAAACTTTTTTTCTTACAAGTAAAGCTTTTTGATGAATCCAACATCAAAAATATACCCCTTAATTTTTAGCCAAATGAATAAATATTTTTGGTAATTTGAGAAAGTTAAATATTTGAGAATTGATTATAATTAAGTCAGTGTGTTAAAAAATAGAATTAGCAGCATAAAATGATAAACCTCTTTTGTTTTCTAAGCTGATACATGCCATTTTTGACATTTTGAAATTATCTTGACAGTGAGTGCTTAGCATTCTAAAAATGTGTTTGGTTGCTTAATAGAATATTACAGACAATGAACAAAAATGTACCCACAAATAATTGTATATTTATGTAGAGTTCCTATGGATATAAATTGGTATCTCACATATATGAAAAGTTTCTGGATATTTTGATACCCTTTTGTTACAGTGTGGTGAATTTATAACGTCCACCTGGAACTTATATTTTACTCTTGAGAGTTCAGGACAAATCTCAGAGAGCAATTAACTTCTGTAAATTCAGATTACATGCTCAGTGGCACTGGAATCCATGCTCATTTGAAATCATAAGGACCTTTTAATCACAAACCAATTTAAAAGATAGGAAGATATCTCTTAGCAGAATACCAAGTTGCATTTTAGTACATTAACTCTGAATTGTTTTAGTAGGCAACCAAATGTCAACTTGAAGTAAAGCAATACATCTCCCTCTGTTCTATAAATATTAATTATTAAATAAATTAACATTTAAAAAATAGGAATGTAAGCAAACCAGTTGAGAAATTTTTATTGAAATGCATGGAGGAAAAGAAGCAGAGAATATTTCTTCTTTTAAAAATTATATGGGTCTTATATGTGCAAATTATGGTGCATGAAATACTAAAAATCCATTTCTCTTGTTAATAGCAATTTCGTCATGAAAACCTGGTCAATCTGATTGAAGTTTTTAGACAGAAAAAGAAAATTCATTTGGTGTTTGAATTTATTGACCACACAGTATTAGATGAGTTACAACATTATTGTCATGGACTAGAGAGTAAACGACTTAGAAAATACCTCTTCCAGATTCTTCGAGCAATTGAATATCTTCACAATAATAATGTAAGTGCTTCTGGGACGAAGTGAGAGAGTGGCATCGACATATATACACTACCAAATGTAAAATAGATAGCTAGTGGGAAGCAGCCGCATAGCACAGGGAGATCAGCTCTGTGCTTTGTGACCACCTAGAGGGGTGGGATAGGGAGGGTGGGAGAGAGACGCAAGAGGGAGGGGATATGGGGGTATATGTATACGTATAGCTGATTCACTTTATTATACAGCAGAAACTAACACAACAATGTAAAGCTATTATACTCCAATAAAGATGTTTAAAAAAATAATGTAAGTGCTTAAAAATAAGCCAAACTGTAGGATGAATATGAATTGTAAGTGCCCTTTAAACATTGTTCTGTTTTTATGAAAGTTGTTAAAATTATTTTTCTGGACAATATTAATTGACATCCTGAAAATGGAGAGATCAGGGGAGTTACTACCTTATAATTCAGTTGCAGAACCAAAAAACGTATTGAACGCATAGTATAACTATAGGGCAGACCAACTATGGGATGCTAAAGGAGGTATAGAGGAATCAGCAGTCAACTGGGGCATCTTTTATTAATGAAAGTACATTAAAACATCGAAAGTCAAGCCAGCTCAGATGAAGGGAGGTTTGGAGGTAGGAACTGGAAACTAGACCAGGGGAATGGCAAGAGAAGGTGGATGCCTTTAGGGAAAGAACAGAGAGAAATAAAGTGGCTGAGGGGTGTAGAGCCTTGTCATTGAAGTCAAGAAAGGAAAGATCAACTGTTGATTTTTAGTGCTGCCTTTTAGCATTGTTTAGTTAATGTTTATCTCAGCAGGTTTTTATGGACATACTTTGTTCCCAACATGAGCTCTACTTTCTGTAAAGTTAGATGTATGTTTGTGAAATAACAGTACAAGCTTCAAAAATAGTTTTATTAGTAAGTGATATAGGCATAACATCTATATACCCTAGGCTTTTTCAGATACCTTAATTTCTAATTTGCTGTCTTGGTAATAGTGCATCTCATGTTGCAGCTTTGAAAAATGTGGTGGTGATAGCAACTGGAAATTCAGATTGTAATTTCCTTGCCAACTGGATCCATGCGGGGGCAGTATAATGTAATAGTTAAGAGCACACAGTCCTTGGAATCAGACTGTCCTGGATTTTCACCCACCAGCTTACGTATGGATAACCACACAACTTGTGGAGTTCACACTTGCACAATGAAAGATGGTAGCCCCATTACTCTGTGGCCCCAGGAAGTTATCTAACCTCTCTGAACTTCATTTTCCTCATCTGTAAAATGATACTATAGTACCTCACAGATTTTTTATAAAGATCAAATTAGGTAGTAGGTAGTGTTTAACACTAGGTGTGTTTTAAGTGCTCATTAAATAGTGCAGATAAGGAGTCAGGAATAGTTATATGTTATCTGTATCCCTATAGTGTCTTGCCTGTAGTAGACTTTAAAAATATTTGTTGAATAATGGGAGACACCAGTATGGTCTAGACTGAGAGTAGAAAACTTCAAAGAGGAGGTAAAACTAAAGTAACAGTTTTGAACTTATATGGGTGTTTAAGTTCAAGCACATAGGGAAACAACCCAAGTGTCTATCAACAGATGATAGGTTTAGACAGATGATATATCTATATCTAAATAGATATATATATATATAATATTATTAAGCCATAAAAAGGATGAGGTATTGCCATTTGCAGCAACATGGATGGACCTAGAGAATATCATACTAAGTTAAATCAGAGAAAGACAAATATATCACTTGTGTGTGGGATCTAAAAAGTAATAACTAATGAATCTATATACAAAACAGAAACAGGCTCACAGACGTAGAAAACATACTATGGTTACCAAAGGGGAAAGGGAGGGAGGGATAAATTGGGAGTATGGGATTGACAGATAATAAACTACTATAAAATAGATAAACAACAAAGATTTACTGTATAGCACAGGGAACTATATTCAATATCTTGTAATAACCTATAATGGAAAATAATCTGAAAAAAAGTATGTAACTGAATCACTTTGCTGTACATCTGAAACTAACACAATATTGCAAGTCAACAATAGTTCACTAAAACAAACAAAAATGCCTTAATGGAATCCAAATGGAAAAAAATATAAATGATCTTAAAACTAACAAAGAAAGTGAATCAATAGTCAAAAAAATTGAAGGGGAATTCCCTGGTGGTCCAGTGGTTAGAACTCTGTGCTTTCACTGCCAAGGGCCAGGGTTCGATCCCTGGTCAGGGAACTAAGATGCCACAAGCTGCATGGTGCAGCGGAAAAAAAATTAAACAAAAATATTCAAGCATATGGAACAGAGTTATTATAAATCATTGTAATATGGAGTTCTATGTAGTTTTGGAGCATTTCACTACAAAATAAAGGAGAATTAAACTCACTGAATCCAAAGTCTGATAGTTCACACCATATACAAAAATTAAGTTGAAATGGATCAAAAACCTAAACATAAGAGCTAAAACTATAAAACTCAGAAGAAAACATAGGTGTAAATCTGTGTGTGATCATGTATTAATGCATCAAAAGCAATCAAAGAAAAAGACAAATTGGACTTCATGAAAATTAAAAACTTTGTGCATCAAAGGGCACCATCAAGAAAGTAAAAAGACAGTTCACACAATGGGAGAAAATATTTACAAATCATATATCTGTTAAGCAACTAGTATCCAGGATATATAAAATACAATTCAACATAAAAAGACAGCCCAATTTAAAAATGGGCAAAGGACTCAATAGACAGTTCTCCAAAGAAGATATAAAAATGGCTGATAGCACATGAAATGATGCTCAATATCCTGAGTCATTATGGTAATGCATATCAAAATCACAATGAGGTACCATTTCACACCCAGTAGTCTAGCTGTAATTTAAAAAACAGACAAGAATGAATGCTGGCAAGGAAGTAGAGAAATTGGAACCCTCATACACTGCTGGTGGTAATGTAAAATGGTGCAGCTGCTATGGAAAACAGCTTGGCAGTTCCTCAAAAAGTTAAACATAGAATTACCATATGACCCAGCACATTTACTCCTAGGTATCTACCCAAGAGAATTGATAACATATGTTCACATAGAAACCTGCCCAGGAATGTTCATAGCAGCATTATTCAAAGTAGCCAAAACGTGGAAACAACTCAAATGTATATTAGCTGATGAATGGATAAACAAAATGCGGTACAACCCTACAGTGGGATTTATTCAAACACAAAAAGGAATGAAGTACTGATACGTGCTACAAAATGAGTGAACCTTGAGAACATTATGTTGAATGAAAAAAGTCAAAATGCAAAAGACGTAAGTATAAATTCCATTTAAATGAAAAATCCAGAATAGGCAAGTTTATATTTGTATATCTTCTTTGAAGAAATGTCTCTTCAAATCCTTTGCCCATATTTAAATTGGATTATTTTTCTACTGTCGAGTTGTATTTTCTGTATTTTGGATACTAGATCCTTATCAGATACATGATTTGCAAATATTTTCTCCCGTTCTGTGGATTGCCTTTTTGCCTTTTCGATAGTGGTTTTTTTAAAAATCATTTCTTTCTCTTTATTGATATCCTTTATGTGGTAGGATGTGTTCATACTTTAGTTCTTTAGACATGGTTTCCTTTAACCTTGAACATATTTAAAATAGCCAATTATAGTCTTTGTCTAGTGGCTTCAATGTTTGGGCTTCTTCAGGGAAAGCTTCTTATTGACTGCTTTTTTTTTTTTTTCCAGTGCATGACCATATTTGTTTCTTTGCACACCTATTTGAGGGGATTTTTTGGACATTTGTAATTTTTTGTTGAAAACTGGACATTTAAAATAATATGTGTTAACTCTGGAAGTCAGAATTTCCCATCTCTCAGGGTTTGTAGTTTTTGCTATTTGTTTAGTTACTTTGCTGAACTAATTCTGTGAAGTCTGAATTCTTTATCACGTGTGACCACTAAAATCTCTGCTCAGTTAGTTTAGTGGTCAGCTAAGGTTTGGACAGAAATTTCCTTCAATTCTTGAAACCAGTAAATCTCTCAGCCATATTTACTGAGGGCTCTTTATCTGTGTTGGGCCATGTCTTCAATGTTCAGGCAGGCAGTTTACAACTCTGCCTTAGCCTTACCTTCCTGCTTGTGTAGAACCTTAAAGTCTGCCAGTCTTGAGAGCTTAGGGACAATCTCAGGTCTTCCCTGGGTGTGTGCACAGCTGTGCATGTACCCTCCATGATTCTCAGGAATATGTTGGAACTTTTCAAACCCTTTACGGACATCTCACTCCCAGCCTTTCTTTCTTTCTTTTCTCTTGTTTTACACACATATTTTGTTTTAACTTAACATTATATCTTGGAGGTCACACCATGTCAGAATACAGAGAATGTCTTCAATTCTTTTTTACAGAAGAATCATAATAGTAATCAACATTTTTATGGCAGCATGCATGAGGCGCTATTTTAAACATTTTCAGTGTTTTACAGATATTAAGGCATACGTACTATTCTTCAAAACCACACTAGGAAATATGTATTTATTTCACCCCCATTTATAGATGAAGAAGCCATGTTTATGAATCTTGCCCCACTCTCACAATATCAAGGGGTAAAGTAGGGATTTGAACCTGTTAGTCTCACCACAATTTGTGCTTAAACTTTATAATACCTTTCAATTCCAGCCTTTCTTTTGTTTTTTAATTGAAGTATAGTTGATTTACAATGTTGCGACAATCTCTGCTGTGCAGCAAAGTGACTCAGTTATACGCATAGAGACATGCTTTTTTATATTCTTTTCCATTATGGTTTATCATGCAAGATGTTGAATATAGTTCCCTGTGCTATACATTAGGACCTTGTTGTTTATCCATTCTAAACAGCCTTTCTTTTTAATTAAGTATTTTGGTCAGCTTGTTGTTTGTCCTGTTATAGCTTCCTCAGGTGGCTATAATGTTATATAGTGGCTGCTAAGAAGGCTGATTGCTTGGGCCAGCTCTGAGTTAGGTCAGTAAAGACAAGACTTCTAGTACGATTTTGCAGTGATCTGCCAGACATGTCAAATAATGACTATTACCTGGGAATGGCGCTTTGGAGGAGATACAGCCCTATTCTACTCCCTCTGGTGGCTGCTAGGCTGCTAGTTTTCACCATGATTTGGCGGGCTGTTGGTTTACAAAGCTACCAGAAGCTGGGGAGAGAGCAATAGAAATAGGACAAGCTAAGAATGCTACTGCATCACATGGTTAGTTTATGTTTCAACTTTTTAAAGAAACTACCAAACTTTTTCCAAAGTGGTTGTACCATTTTACATCCCCATCAACAATGTATTCCAGTTTTTCTTTATCCTCTTGTTATTGTCTTTTGATCATAGCTATTCCAGTGGGTGTGAAGTGGTATCTTTTTTTTTTTTTTTTGAGTAGTAAAACTGTCTTTACTCACAGATGACATGATCATCTATGTCGGAAATTCTATGGAATCTACAACAAAGTTAAGAGAACTAACTTGTAAGTTTATCAAGGTTGTAGGATACAAATCAATATACTGAAATTAATTGTATTTCTGTGTATTAGCAACAAACAATCAGAAATTGAAATTAAAAATACCATTGTAACAGCATCAAAAATATAAAATACTTAGAGAAAATCTGACAAAAGATATATAAGACCTATACATTGAAAACTATTAAACATTGATGAGAGAAATTAAAGAAGATCTAGACACATAGAAAGAAATACTGTGTTTATAGAGGTCTCAGTGATTGTGGAAGACCAAGGAGGATGTTGTCAAAACACAGAATTTTAAAAGTTGGGATTTAGAGAGTGCTTGATTCTCAAGGATAGAGTTCTGCATGTAGTCATGGTGTTAGTTGTTAAAATGAGTGAGAACATTAGGACATCAGCTGAGTGAATCTTTCTCCCCCATGTTTAGAGCACTGAGGAGGAGGGTGATGGATGTGTAGTAGGCAGAATGTGTGAAATGGTATCTTAACGTGCTTTTCCATGTCTATTTTTTCTCATGTTATATCCTCAGATCTTGGTATAGTGCCTGGCATATAGTAGTCACTCAATAAAAGTTGTAGAAGTAAAACAGGACTAATATAGTTTTATAGATGTCTCCTTTAAGGTGACTCATTACCCTAAATTAATTATTTGGCCATTTAGGAGGAAGAGTGAGGCAGAACAAGAGCCATCCCCAAAGGCTTATAGCAGCAAGTTGTATAAAAAAGGAAAGATCCCAGATTTCTGTCACCAAGATATTTTCACTCGTGTCATGATACTTTTCTGGTGATGAAAATATGCTTAATACATTTGATAAAGGTTTTAAATGCCTTCTTTGTTTTAGGCATTGTACTGGGCCCTGGGGATATAGCCTGAACAAAACAGACATACATCTTACCCTCATGGAACTTACAGTCTAACGGGAGTGACAAAAAAGTAAATAGGCAATTAATAATAAGCATGACAAATGCTGTGAAGGGGGAAGTGCAGAATAATGTGAGAACATATAGAAGGAACATCTAATAGAAACATCTCAGCTGAGACCTGAGGAAATAGTTGGCCAAGCAAAGTATTCTAGGAGGTTAGAACAGCATCAGCAAATGCAAAAAATAATGACACAAACTTGGAGAATTGGGAAGCTAATATTCAATAGGCTAGCGAAGGGACATTGAGAATGTGAGCAGAGACCAAATCCTATAAGGCCTTACCAGCCATTTCACGTAGCTTCAAATTTGTCCTGTCGGGTAGGGAATCCTTGAAGGAGTGACATAATCATACATGTGATTTTAAAATAGTACTGTGATTTCACTGTGGACAATGAATTGGAGGGGATTAGAGTGAATTCAGGGAGACCATTTGGTAAGCTAGTAATTTTGATGAGAGAACTGAGGGAACTTGAACTAGGGAGAGAAGTAGACAGGTTGAGAGAGTATGGAACCTGAGGGAGAAAAGTGCCTTGATTTCTGGCTTGAGCCATGGGATCTATGTTGGTTCCATTTGCTGAGCTAAAGGACTGTTGAGAACAAATGAGTTTGGGAGAAAAGATGATGCGTTTAGTTTTGGATTTGCTGAGTTTGTGGGGTGTGTGGTTCAGCCCTGTGGGACTTCTTGTGGACTTCCATTCCTTGTGGAAACCAGGAAAGATAGAAATAGAAATAGGGAAGTCATCAGTTTATGGATAGTTACTAAGGCTGTAATAGTAGGTGAGATTGAGATGGAACAGCCAATAGATGGGAAGAAGCCCAAAAGAATATGGTGTTCCCATAACCAAGTGAAGAAAGTGCTAAAAAAAAAAAAAAAAAGTAGTTGAGATTGTGCAGGAAACAAGATGTAAGAGAAGAGAAGCCTAAGACCAGAACCCTACATTTACGGACAGAGAGAGAAAAAGGAACTGCCATAGGAGGAGACTGGGGAATTTTAGGTCCCAGAAGTCAGGAATGGAAGACTGGTTGATATCTTTTACACTAAGATACCAAGTAAGATATGTATTGAGGGGTGTGTGTTGGATGTAGCAACAAGGATGTTGATGACTTTGGCTAGGGCAGTTTGAATGTGGGAGCAGAAGACAGATTGCATTACCTTGAGGAGTGAATGAGTGGTAAGACAGAAAGTGAAGACTGAGTAAAAATAATGTCTTCGAGAAGTTTAGCTGCGAAGGAAATGAGAGAAAGAGCAGTACTTGGAGTGTGACATGGGGTTAAAGGAAAGTTAAACTTTTTCCATTAAGTTCTTTTAATTACTTTTCCTTTTATGAATGTGATTTACCTTTTCAGTATTATGTCTGTTTTCTTGGCTTTGTTTGGAGATGATGGATGGGGCAAGAACTGAAAGTATATAACTATTTAGCTTTTGCATTGTGTACTTAATCATTTGCATTTGGTAAGAAAATAGCTTTCCTGTCTTAATTAGCTAGATTTTCTCTATGTAATTGTTGAGAGATTTTCTAGATAATGAAACCTCATTTTAATCTATTGCATCTTCTGTTTGTTTTTAGATCATTCATCGAGATATAAAACCTGAGAATATTTTAGTATCCCAGTCAGGAATTACTAAACTCTGTGATTTTGGTTTTGCACGAACGCTAGCAGCTCCTGGAGACATTTATACGGACTATGTGGCCACACGCTGGTATAGAGCTCCAGAATTAGTATTAAAAGATACATCTTATGGAAAGTAAGTATATTTGGGAATCCTGCTTGGCCTTTCCTAGCCGTCTCTTTTTTTCCCTTGGTGTATCTGTCACCCATACTACTGACATCCTCTGCCTTCTGCATCTGGGTTTGGGCTAGAAAAGGGACACCCCAAAATAGAGCAGAGAGACCCTAGGCGCCTGCCCTGCTATTGACGTTACCACGCTTGCCCTCTGGGGCTGAGTGGCCCCAGCCCCGGAAGACCTATGCAGTCACCCCTCAGGCTGTATCCATGCTTGCTTTAAGCTGTGCCCCACTCTTAACAGAGTTGCCTCCTCTGCTTATCTGTAGGCTCTACATTTACTATACTCTGCCAGTGTTACCACAGGATCTGCCAGATTTCCTGCTTCTTGAATACGGCACAATCTTTGCAAAGACTGGCAAATAATTTTTAAATTGAACTGTTCTAGATGCCTTAAAAAGTAGAAAGGTCTCAGTCTATTGCGAAACAGTATAGGAAACAACAATCTAATAAACAAATAATGAATCTTGAAGAACAAAGGGACCAAGTTGTACAACTGAATACAAGAAATGGGAGTGGGGATAATTCTCACATGCTTTTCCTAGAAACCATTGTTCTGTTATTATAATAGTGTCTAACATCGGGGCTTCCCTGGTGGTGCAGTGGTTAAGAATCCGCCTGCCAATACAGGGAACACGGGTTCAAGCCCTGGTCCGGGAAGATCCCACATGCCGCAGAGCAACTAAGCCTGTGCACCACAACTACTGAGCCTGTGCTCTAGAGCCTGTGAGCCACAACTACTGAGCCCACGTGCCACACTACTGAAGCCCACCCTAAAGCCTGTGCTCTGCAACAAGAGAAGCCACCGCCATGAGAAGCCCGTGCATGGCCATGAGGAGTAGCCCTCGCTCACTGCAACTAGAGAGAAAGCCCACGCGCAGCAACAAAGACCCAATGCAGCCATAAATAAGTAAATAAATAAATTTATTTTTTTAAAAATCTAATATCATTAAGTACTTATTTTAAAGCTAGAAACTGTTCTAAATGCTTTACATGCATTAAATTATCTAATTTTCACAACAACCCTCTGATGAAGGTGCTAGTATTTTATCCCCATTTCAAATAAGATGACACACTAAGGCAGGTAGTGAGTAAGACACTAAAAAAGTAAGAAAGTGAGTAAGTTTACTAAGAAAAGTAAACTAATTTACCCAAAGTCTATCCAGGGTATGTTTTCAACTGTACTTATCACTGATACCATATGCAGACCACCTCTGTGCCTCAGTTACTTTATCTGTATAATGGAAATAATAATGGAACCAGTTTCATAGGTTTATTGTGAGGATTAAATGATTTAATGAATGAGAAAAATGAAAAAACAGTAAATGCTCAATCAATGTAGCCTCTGTAAGATCTCTCCCAGTTTTACCGTTTGTGATATTTACTTAAATTCCTTTCCTGATGTACCCCCTTATTCCTATCCCTTGCTCCCCAAATCATATCCTTCTCTAAATTCTGTTGTACATTATATGTAGATTTTGTGCCAGTTAATATTTAATATGGCCTAGTTCTATCTACCTCTTTTTAAAATATTCTTCTTGCTGAAAGATAAATTCCTTGAGGATAGGTGTAATCTCTTGTATTCTAGAGAGCCAAAATTGATGCCTTGTATATAGTCAGTTTGGATTCTAATGCAAGGCTTCACATTGAGTTTGAAATAAATTTGCTAGTGAGTTTTTAAAACATGTTAAATTTTAACATCTTTACATTTTAAAACATGTAAAATAAAACACAGATACAAGAAAAGCTCACACAACAAATGTATACTTCCATCACCAGATGGAAAAATAGAGTTTTGCAGGCTACCCCAGAAAACCCTCTATGTGTCCTATTCCACTTACAATACTCTTTCTAACCTCAAAAGTAGCCATGATATTGACTTTAAAAAAAAATTTTTATTTATTTATTTTTGGCTGTGTTGGGTCTTCATGGCTGCGCACGGGCTTTCTCTACTTACAGTGAGCGGGCGCTACTCTTCATTGCAGTGCACGGGCTTCTCATTGCAGTGGCTTCTCTTGTTGCAGAGCACGGGCTCTAGGCGCATGGGCTCAGTAGTTGTGGCTCACAGGCTCTAGAGCGCAGGCTCAGTAGTTGTGGCGTACAGGCTTCACTGCTCCACGGCATGTGGGATCTTCCCGGACCAGGCTCGAACCTGTGTCCCCTGTATTGGCAGGCAGATTCTTAACCACTGCACCACCAGGAAAGTCCCTTGACTTTTATTATAAACAGTTTCTTGCATTTTTAATAGTTTTATTACACAAAAGTGTATCTACTTAGTTTAATCTAGCCTTTTTAACTGACAGCTCTTTTAAAGATATGATTCACATACCATACAATTGACAGATTTAAAGTGTACAATTCAGTGGTTTTTAGTATATTTAGAGTCATGCAACCATTACCACATTCAATTTTAGAACATTTTCGTCACCCCAAAAAGAAATCCTGTGCTCATTAGCAGTCACTCCCCATTTCCTCCCAACCCTTCCTTGCCTAGGCAAACACCAATCTACTTTCATTTTCTCTGGATTTGCCTATTCTGGACATTTCATATAAGTGGAATTATGCAATATCTGGTCCTTTGGGACTGATTTATCTCACTTAACTATTTTCAAGATTCATCCGTGTTGCAGCATGTATCGGTACTTTATCTTTTTTGGCTGTATAATATCCATTTTATGGTTATTTACATTTTATTTACCCATTCATTAGTTGATAGACATTTTGATTGTTTCCACTTTCTGGCTATTATGAATAATACTGCTGTGAACATTTGTATACACATTTTACTGTGGACATGTGTCTTTATTTCTTTTGGGTATGTACCTAGGATTTGAAATTGTGGGTCATATGGTAACTCTTTATTTGTTTTTGTTATGAATTTTTTTTTGTTTTTATTTTTTGCGGTACGCGGGTCTCTCACTGTCGTGGCCTCTCCCATTGCGGAGCACAGGCTCCGGACGCGCAGGCTCAGCGGCCATGGCTCACAGGCCCAGCCGCTCCACGGCATGTGGTATCTTCCCGGACCGGGGCATGAACCCGTGTCCCCTGCATCGGCAGGCGGACTCTCAACCACTGTGCCACCAGGGAAGCCCCATGTCGAGTTTTCTAAGGAAATGCCAGACTGTTTTTCAAAGTGTCTGCATCATTTTACTTTCCCACCAGCAGAGTATGAGGGTTACGAATTTCTCCACATCCTCACCAAGACTTGTTATTATCTGACTTTTGGATTCTGGTTATCCTAATGGGTGTGAAGTAGTATCTCATTATGGGTTTAATTTGCATTTCTTTGATGACTAATGATTGTTGAACTTCATTGTTGATCTTTTATGTGCTTATTGGACATTTATATATCTTCCTTGGAGAAATGTCTGTTCAGATCCATAGCCCATTTTTAAATTACATTGGCTTTTATTATTAAATTGGAAGAATTCTTCATACTCTAGATACAAATTCCTTATCAGGTATATATTTGCAAGTATTTTCTCTCACTCTGTAGTTGTCTCTTCATTTTCTTAATTGTGTCTTTTGTCACACAAATTTTTTTATTTTGATGAAGTCCATTCTATCTGTTTTTTCCATTTGTTGCCTATGCTTTTGGTGTCATATTTAAGAACCCTTTGCCAAATCCAAGGTTGTGAAAATTTACCCCTCTGTTTTGTTTTAAGAGGTTTATACTTCTAGTTCTTACATTTAAGTATTTCATCTGTTTTGAATTAATTTTTAATTAAATGTGAAGTTAATTTAATTAATTTAAATGAAGTTAATTTAATTAACCTCATTCTTTTGCATGTGTTTAGCCAGTTGTTCCAGCACCATTTGTTGGAGAGATGATTTTTTTCCCCTATTAAATGGTCATGGCACCCTTGATGAAAATCAGATGGTTTATTTATGGACTTCTGATTTCTGTTCCATTGATCTGTATCTCTATCCTTGTTCTAGAACCACACTGTCTTGATTACCATTGCTTTGTAGCTAGTTTGAAATCAGGACGTGTGAGTGCTGCAACTTTGTTCTTGTTTTTTAAGATTGTTTTGGCTGTTACGGGACCCTTGCAATTCCATGGGAATTTTAGGATCAGATTTATCAATTTTGTGGGGTTTTTGGCCCATAAGACAGCTAGAATTCTGATAGGGATTGCATATCTATAAATCAGTTTGGAGAATATTGCTGTCTTAATGTTAAGTCTGCTCATCTATGAACGTAAGATGTTTTCAGATCTTTAATTTCTTTCAAGAATGCTTTATAGCTTTTAGCACATACATTTTACATTTTTTCATGGTAAGGCATTTTATTTTAAATATAGCAGTGTGTACATGTCAATCCCAAACTCCCAATATATCCCTCCCCACCACCCTTCCACCTGGTAACCACAAGTTCCTTCTCTTAGCCTGTGAGTCTGTTTTGTAAATAAGGTCAATTGTACCATTTTTTTTAGATTCCACATATACGCGATATCATGATATTTGTCTTTCTCTGTCTGATTTACTTCACTTAGTATGATAATATTCAGGTCTATCCATGTTGCTGCAAATGGCATTATTTCATTCTTTTTAATGGCTGAGTAATATTCCACTATATATATGTACCATATCTTCTTTATCCATTCATCTGTTGATAGACATTTATGTCTTCCATGTCTTGGGTATTGTAAACAGTGCTGCAATGAACACTGGGGTGCATGTATCCTTTCAAACCATGTTTTTCTCTGGATGTATGCCCAAGAGTGGGATTGTTGGATCATATGGTAGCTCTATTTTTAGTTTTTTAAGGAACCTCCATACTGTTCTCCATAGTGGCTTTACCAATTTACATTCCCACTAATAGTGTAGGAGGGTCCCCTTTCCTCTACACCCTCTCCAGCATTTAGTTTGTCGACTTTTTGATGATGGCCATTCTGACTGGTGTGAGGTGATATCTCATTGTAGTTTTGATGTGCATTTCTCTAATAATTAATGATGTTG